GCGCTGCCGCTGCCGCCGCGCGCGCCGATTCGCAGCGGCAGATTCGCCGGGAGTCCCTACGCCAAAACGGCCGCACCGGGAGGGCGAAGACAAGGTAAGAGACCGAGGCCGGGGCGGTAACACGAGGACTCGAACCGGCGATCTCCGGACCGGGCCTTCAACACACAAACCCGCCGGCCCGGTGGGCGGTGTGCCAGCATCTGGGGGAGGAGCGAGGCGGCCTTCGGGGCGGTGCTTCCGGGGGCGGGACTTCACTGGGACGGGGTGGGGAGGAGTGGGCGGGTCTTTGAGTGATGGGCAGGGTCTGGGGAGCTGGGCCTGATTGGGTCTAGCCGGGAGGAGCGGGCGAGGCCTGATCGGGCGGGAACTGATTGGGACTAGGTCTGGAGTGGTGGGCGGAGCCTTAATGTGACGAGTTGTCTGAGTGGAACAGAGCAGGCAGTGGTGGGCGGGACCCGAGAGTGACAGGCGGGACCTGCGTAGGCGTTCCCTGATTGGGACCCGGAGTGGTGGGAAGGCCCTGGAAGAGAAGCGGGGAGCGGTGACTGGTAGGCGGGAGTGGGGACTGGTGGGTGGGACCTTGAAGTGACGAAAGCCGAAAACCAAAAGACACACCCACTGCCACCGAGTCGGCCCCATCCGGTTTCCTAGGCTGTAAATTTTCACGGAAATAGATTGCCACACCTCTTTTGGAGGGAGAGAGCCAGCAGGCTCGAACCGCGTAGCTTTCAGATAGCAGCCTTATACCTTAGCCACAGAGCCAGCAGAGTTCTTGGTAAATCAGCAAGAAGGATCCAATTAGGATGGAGACTGATAGGCGGAGCCTGAACCAGTCGAAGGGCGTGGTAGACCAGGGGCCTAAACCGGTGGGCGGGCCTAGCTGGTGAACCCGGCAGAGGCGCGTTCCGGCGTGCGGAAGGGGCCTCCGGCCGCTGCCCGGCTAGAGAGGCCTCGGAGATGCAGTGTCCAGACCCGCGAGCTGAGGCGCTGCCCCCAGCCTAGAGCCACCTCCTGGCAGTGCCTAGATGCTTGCCGTGCGCCGCTAGTAAACCTTCCCCTACGATTCGCCCCTTCTGGCGATCACCGTGGTCGTCACGCCGTGTCCCCCGACCAGAGTGGACCGTGCTCGCCACGGGCCCGCAAAGTGTCATCTGCGCGTTCTGTTCACAGTAGTCACGAAACCCAGGAAGTTCTTGACAATAAACCATAACATAAATGGTTGGCAAGCCGACATTTTTTTAGATCTCTAAAACTTAGCTAGAGAGTATTCGGAAGATCGATTAATCACAAAACCCGCCCTCGCAGATACAACAGAGTCTCCCCAGTCAGCTTCTAAAGTCGATTTTCAACCCACCACTGCCACCTAGTCAATTCCAGCTCATAGCGATCCCCATAGGATTTCCTAAAGGCTTAAATCTTTACCGACGCAGACTGCCCCATCTTTCTCCACCAGGGTGGCTGGTGGGTTCAAACCTCCAACCCTTCAGCTAGCAGCCGAGCGTTTAACCACTGCACCACCAGGGCGCCTACCAAACCCAAATGAAACCACCTCAAGGACAGATGAATAAAGAAGTTCAATGAAGCCAACAGTCCGGCAACAAACCTGTTCTACATGGACTCCAGCTGCTGTGGAGTCTTCACCGCCCCATGTCAGAGAAGAACAGAGCTCCCCAGGGCTGTCACGGCTGACCGTTCAAAGACATGCTGCCAAGCCATCCTTCCAAGGCTTCTCAGTGGACTGGAACTTCCAACCTTTTCATCAGCAGCTGAGCATGAGCATTGTAGGACTGCATAGGATCCGTGTCAAGAGGAAAAGACAGGCTCCTCAGAAGTGTCGATTGCCTTTCCTTGGCGGGAGAGAGTACCCTAAATCCCTGCCTCACACAGTCACAACAAAATACCAGTGACATTGAGAGCTAGACTCAAACAGGAATTTGAGACTCAAATGTAAGACATGTTCTAAAGCTCTAGTGGATGTTCTCCATAGTGGGGGATGTAGCACTTGCCAATGTCAGACCCCAGCCACCCTCCTGCAGGGTATAAAACCTCACTGCTGTCAGGTTGATCTGACTCATAGCGACCCCTCTTTGGGTTTCCGAGGCCAAAACGAACTGATCGATCTTCATCCATTTCAGGAAGTGGCGTATGATCTAGAACCAATGGTAATGAAGGAAGAAGTCAAAGCTGCAATGAAAGAACTGGCAAAGAACAAGGCTCCGGGAATTGATGGCATACCAATTGAGATATTTCAACAAACACATGCCCCATTGGAGGCACTCACTCAGTTATGCCAAGAGATTTGGAAGACAGCTACCTGGCCAACTGACTGGAAGAGATCCATATTTGTGCCCATTCCAAAGAAAGGTGATCCCACAGAATGTAGAAATTACAGAACAATATCATTAATATCGCACGCAAGTAAAATCTTACTGAAGATAATTCAGAAACGTTTGCAGCAGTATATTGACAGAGAACTTCCAGAGGTTCAAGCCGGATTCAGAAGAGGACGTGGAACAAGGGATATCATAGCTGTTCTCAGATGGATCTTGGCTCAAGGCAAAGAATACCAGAAAGATGTTTACTTGTGTTTTATTGACTATGCAAAGGCATTTGATTGTGTGGATCATGAAAAATTATGGATAACATTGAGAAGAATGGGAATTCCCAAGCACTTGATTGTACTCATGAGGAATCTGTACCTTGACCAGGAGGCTGTCGTTCAAACAGAACAAGGGGACACTACATGGTTTAAAATCAAGAAGGGAGTGCGTCAGGGTTGTATCTTTTCTCCACACTTATACAATCTATATGCTGAGCAAATAATTCGAGAAGCTGGACTATATGAAGAAAAACGTGGTATCAGGATTGGAGGAAGAATCATTAACAACCTGAGATATGCAGACGATACAACTTTGCTTGCTGAAAGTGAGGATGACTTAAGGCACCTACTGATGAAGGTTGAAGAACACAGTCTGCAGTATGGAGTACGTCTCAATATAAAGAAAACAAAAATCCTCACAACTGGACCAATGAGCAGCATCACAATAAATGGAGAGAAGATTGAGGTTGTCAAAGAATTCACGTTGCTTGGTTCTACAATTGATGCCAACGGAAGCAGCAGTCAGGACATTAGACGACGTGTAGCATTGGGAAAGTCAACTGCGAAGGAACTGTTTCAAATGCGGAGGAGCAAGGATATCCCCTTGAGGACTAAGGTGCGCCTGACACAAGCCATGATATTTCCAATCACCTCGTATGCATGTGAGAGCTGGACAATGAATAAGGAAGACCAAAGAAGAGTTGATGCTTTTGAGTTGTGGTGCTGGCGAAGAATGCTGAAAGTACCGTGGACTGCTAAGAGAACTAACAGATCTGTCCTGGAGGAAGTGCAGCCAGAATGCTCCTTGGAAGCAAAAATGGCCAGACTGTCTCACCTATTTTGGTCATGTTGTAAGAAGGGACCATTCCCTGGAGAAGGATGTCATGCTTGGTAGGGTGGAGGGTCGTCGAAAGAGGGGGAGGCCTTCAAGGAGATGGATTGATACAGTGGCTGCGATGATGGGCTCAAGTATAGCAGGGATTGTGGGGCTGGCGTGGGATCGGGCAGCCTTCTGTTCTGCTGTGCATGGGGTCGCTATGAGTCGGAAACGACTCGACGGCACTTAACAACAACAACAATCTCTACGGAAGTAGATTGCCCAGTCTTCCTTCCAAGGAGTGGCTGGTGGGTTTGAACCGCCAGCCTTCTGGTTAGCAGTCAGATGCCTTGTTGTTGTTGTTGTTAGGTGGTTAGGTGCCGTCGCATCATGCCGACTCATAGTGACCCTACGCACAGCGGAATGGAACAGTGCCTGGTCTTGAACCAGCCTCACCATCCTTGCTATACCTGAGCCCATCGTTGCAGCCACTGTGTCAATCGATGTTGTTGAGGACCTTCCCCTTCTTGGTTGACCCTCCACTTTACCAAGCATGATATCCTTCTCCAGGGAATGGTTACTTGTGACAACATGACCAAAGCAGGTGAGACGAAGTCTTGCCATTCTAGCTTCCAAAGACCATTCCGGCTGCACCTCTTCCAGGACAGATTTGTTAGTCCTCTTAGTAGACCATGATACTCTCAGCATTCTTCGCCAACACCACAATCAAAAGCATCAACTCTTCTTCAGTCTTCCTTATTCATCGTCCAGCTCTCACATGCCTAAGAGGTGACTGAAAATACCACGGCTTGGGTTAGGCACACCTTAGTCTTCAAGGAGACATCTTTGCTCTTCATTACTTGAAAGAGGTCTTTGGGAGCAGATTTTCCCAATGATATACGTCTTCTGATGTCTTGACTGCTGCTTCCATTGGTGTTGATTGTAGAACCACATAATATGAAGTCCTTGACAACTTCAATCTTTTCCCATTTATCGTGAATCAGTTTATCGTGGCTCAGTTGTGAGGATTTTTGTTTCCTTTACATTGAGGTGTAATCCGTACTGTAGACTGGGGTCTTTCATCTTCACCAGTAAGTGCTTCGAGTCGTCCTCACTTTCAGCAAGCAAAGTGGTGTCGTCTGTGTAGTGCAGGTTGTTATTGAGTCTTTCTCCAATGCTGATGCCACATTCTTCTTCAGATGCCTTAGGTCCTATGTGTGAAGCTGGAACATGTGTGCCAGTGAGCCATGGGAACAAGCTGCGCCACCCGGTGGATTCAGCCAGGAGACGTACTGCACTTTGGAGCTGCCTAGACTAGTGCCTTTTCTTCGTCTTTAATAAAATATTTCAGGCATACCTAAAAGTAGAAAGAAAAGAGGAAGATACAAAGGAACCGTCACTTAGCTACAGCCAAATTGAGCATTCTCCCATAT